TTTAATGTCATGCTAAAGAACGTTTCTTAAACTCAATTCTAGCTTTTATTGTTCTTTGATGCTTAATTTGCCATGACTAGAATTTTATATTTGAGTTTATATTTGTTTTAGCTCTTTGTAACAACACAAGACATTGAGCTTATTGTATTTTACATTTATGGTATAATAATTTGGGTTGTGGGATTGTGACATTGAGTGTGAGCCTTACATTGAGTTCTCATCCATTGTAGAGAAACAACCATTGTTATATTTGTGCGTAAATTGTGAGGTTCAACTTTGTAATACATCTTGTACAGCGAGAGGAAGTGTGTGGGTGAGAGAACGGGGTCGTCCGCCAGAGAAGTTGAGATAAGTGGTTAATGCCTAGAGGTAGCTTGTAATTGCTAACAGATTGAGGGAAGACCACGGGCTTAGAGACCAACACTTGAGAGGGTGTAAAGTGTGATTGGCAGGAGTGTTGATGTGTAATGTTTTCGGTAAACTAGAAAAACGCGAGTGTGAGGCGTAAACGTTTTGGGTGAGCGTAGAAACCCGGTGTGATCTCCTCGAGGTGAGGAGGCGGAGATCGTAGGTCATGTGGACCGAAGCTCCGTGAACATATTGTTTGTTTGTGATTTGCATTGGGCGCACTTATCTTGTGTTATGATTTCATATCACCATTGTCTATTGGCTCGTTATTTATATCGGCCCAATATCTGTTTATTATTGTTTATTGTATATCACTTATCCTGTGCATATATCGTTGTTGCATATCATGACTTCTAGGATAGTTTGTTGAATTAGTTTTAATTAGCATAAAATCGGATTAAGAGTTAGCATAAGACCGCCTAATCACCCGCGACCTCTATGATCTAAAGCAGTATATCCTTCTTCTATTGGTGAATATTTACTTAGTGCATGTCGGTGTCATCGATAGTCATGAAATTAATAAGAAGGCAAATAATACATGCACGTCTAGAAAATTAGAACATTTATATACTTGCCACTATAAATTCTGCCTCTTTTTTTAAAATTAGAATTTACTGCACCTTAATGTTGGAATACCGCGTTATAATTGGTACGAAAACTTTTCTGATGCACAAACAGGCAAAGAGTTGGATTTTGGTTATGCATATTTGGAGCATTGTTATTATTTTCATGGGGGGGTTACTGAAGGCATACTAAAGGTATTCAAGATGGCATCAAATGGATGGAATAAGAGCTAGAAAAGCTCTCGAGGTGGTGCACTCGAAAAGACTCATTACAGAAAGAGAAGGAAAAGTTCCTGCTGATCCCTCTAATGATGAAGGCAGCAGGAGGCGGCGATTTTTGGCGGGAGAGGATGATCCGCTCTAGCCTGCCTAGATCCGGTTATTGCGAGTACTTTGCATATAAGGAGGTGGAGGCCCTCGCCGGTGCAGCCGCAGGCCTTCTGCGCTCTTGCAGACGGCCAGTATAAGGAATGTGCTTATTCAGTAGGAGCAGCCAGGAGGCCTTGAAGGATCTTTAAGGAAGTTGCGGCAGGACGGCGGTGGCAATTTGCATTATGTTGTTCCTTGGGCTAATGGGATTGGCGTTCATGCGTCGAGAAGTCCTAGAGCTTTTGGAAGGATATGCGCACAAATTTTTATTCTTCTCATTTTTAACAGCTTTCGTTCTCTTTCATATTTGATTTTCCATCTGTGGGAAGGCTTCACATGGTTATTTTATTAATTTTATTTGATAGTACTTTTTCTATTGACTACAGTTAGTGAGATGTAATGAGAACTGATTGTTGTGGTGAATATATTTAAGCTTAAGCATCGAAAAACCCTCCTACGCTTTGAACTATTATCAATAAGCTCGCCATACTTCGACCAAATATCAGAAAACATCTAAAAGTTTAGGTCATATCATGAAACCCGCCTTTAACGCCTTATGATAATTTTCTGATATTTCGCACTATGTCATTTTTAAAATATTGTCTAAGGTGATTAAGAGTTGATTTTTAGCCTGTAGGCAAGGAGTGTTTCAAAAAAGAGGCATGTTTTCATGCGAAGTAGTCTTTTCATTATCGAGTTATTACAAATGTTGATCGTTTTAGCAAATGAATTCAATAATAAAAATAAAGATTACTAACTTCTAGAAAATAAACACAAGAACTGTTTATACAACTCTTGCTTGCGTGGGGTTCCTTCGTCTATGGCCGGGGATATTGATATGCTATGGAGACGACCGCGGATCAGATCTGGTTGCCAGAAAAATTGACAGAGAATGCCTTAATTCACCGCAAGGAAGTATTCGGCTTGAAGCACTAATCGATCCAAGAAAAATCAGTAGCTTTCTTCTCAAAGATTAAGATCAATGCTAATGCTCAAGGAAGCGGACGGTGGGGAAATACGGGTTCAGATCCTTCGAAAGCCCTCGCTCTTTATGCTGAAGTTCGTCCGGGTATCTGACTTGGCCTTCGCTGTAGATTCGTGCTCCTATTGACTCTAAATCCAGGCAACACCTGCGGCCTCTTGAGAAATTCCGGTGCCTCTGGTAGAATGGAGGCTCTAGTAGCGCATAAAGTTAAGCAGCCCCCAATGATAATGCATATTCTTTGCCCTCAGCTTCGAGATTAAGCTGAAGCATTCTGCGCAAAGGTGACCATGCTCGCGCCTTCTTCCTCTTCCTACCACCACAATGTCGGCATCTCAAAGCCATCCACTGTGTACATAATCTCCTTGAGCTTCTTGCAGCTAGGGAGAAAACATGCTTGTTTGTAATATATATGAGCGCGTGTTTATAATCTATATCTAACCAGCCACAAGAAGTGTTGTTCTTGAAACCATCAACACCGTTGATTTGTTGACTTTCATCCTCCATAAATGCTAAATGGCATGCATTTAGTTTGATTTGCGCTGTAATAGCCGCTGCATATAAAGTTTGGGCACCTGATCCTCATATCTTACCCCCTCAACCACTGCCTTACCATTGAAATAGCTTTCTTGCACATAGCATTCCTAGCAAAAGAAGCAGCAAGCTTAGCTCGGCGAACTTGTCCCGTTAGATATCTTCGCAAAGCACATGCTGCTACGCGAGCCATGACATCAAAAAAACCCAAATCATTCACCAACATGATTGTTGTCAGCTGCAAGACATCGCGTGAGGAACATGCTTTGATCTCGATCTTGGTGATTATCGCCTGCTTATAGTTAGGCAATGTGTTTAGAAATTATTAACTTGCTGCCGAAGAAGAATTCAAGAAAGCTTGCTGCTTTGTCAATCATGCTTTAAGCTTGACGCCTATCAACTGTTGACTCGGTCACTATCTATTGAAGTTTCTCATATGGGTCTAAACATTATACGTACTTCCTTTATCGCACATTTCCTATATGTCCATACAACTACTACTTCCACATACAAGTTAGTGGAATGCATTCTTGGTATGTAGCTAACTCCTAAAATTTCTTACAGCAGAAAAGTAAGTGCAATCCTCCCCTCAATTAACGTGGCACCCACTTGCGTAAGAGAGCTAGTTAAGAATTGTAGCTGCCACCAACTTTTGATCAATTTCATGTAAGACATGTCAGCTTGCTATTTTCTACCGACTGTCTTGTTCACCGATCCTAGCAAAAGCTTGATCTAAGTCATGTTGGACCAAGACGACCTCCATCCTTTTCCGTCAAAGCCCAAGATCCCTTTTACCATTGATGCTTTTTACAACATCGAGTCTTCATAAAGCTAAAAATTTTTACCATTTCCGATGGCTGCGAATATTGAAACTTTCGCTCAAAGACAATTCTAATGCAAATGACATTAAGCTCAGGCCACCTATTGTTGGCGCATGCCTCCCGCAACCTGACACTGATGATTGGCGCACGTAAGCCAATGATTTATGCTAAGCATCACTGGTGGAAGCGTCACCGAACACCTGATTAGATCTCGCTTCTTCTTTATGGACGCGAGATGCATCAGCCGGGCAATTATGAAAGACACGCAAAGAAATAATTAGTTTGAACAAAAGAGTAAAGCAGTTAATACGGCCGGAGAGTTATAGATTAAGAGACAAAAGATATGAATTTTCATATGGTTAAGCTGATCTCCTATATCCAACGACAACTAGGATTTGCCTAAAATACAAGGTTTCAATAATATTAATTGTAGTGTCTTCCAACAGTGCATTCTTCATTAATGCAGAGGCAATCTCAGTCTTTCATTGCCTTGTCCACGCTTCTTACCCATAGAATTCGCAATGGAAGTATCGCCAAATGTGTAGGGCATCAAATTTTGGAGTGTATTCGTCGATATCTAAGCTAGCTCGGAAGCTTTACAACTGTCGCAATTTTAGATTTGATCCGCTCATGTGGTGCTAATAGCACCCTCAGGAGAATTGAATTAATAGGTTTTGAGGATAAACGGTATGTTCGGAAGATGAGGCTTGAATTGGGTTTGAGTTTGTGATGAAATGAGGTTTGACATTTCTAAAACGAGTGTAAGTTAAATGAGTAATGAGCGTAGGGTTTGTAACCAAAGGGGCATAAACAACCATCTAGCTAAAAGGTAAAGGTAAAATATTCCATCTCAGTCTTGGGCATTCTTTAAGTGGCGTGGACTCATTTCAAGCATGATCATGAGATTTGGGGCTGAATATCATTTCAAATGACCTGGTGGACTATTATCCGCCGAAAATAATTTTAAGATGTAAGGGGCTTAATTGAAAAATCACCCTTGTGCAGATAAAAATGAGAGTGCGGAACGTAGTAGGCAATTTCCATATTTGAGGGAGCTAATTCAGAGATAAGAAAAGGCATAAAAACGGTGCTATTCGTTTCGACATCCAAGAATGACGCCGACCCGGCAAAACGGTAACACCCTACTTTCTGCCTTCCCCCATTTTCCTGCGTCGACTGCTCCGTCCATTTGGCGTTCAAGTTCAGAGCATGCTCTAATCTTTCAGTAAAAACCCTAAAACCTAAATTACTCAAAATTTTATGAGCGAATGTCCGTTTTGATCGTGACTAGCGGT